TTTTTAATGAAACAAAATAAATAATAACTTATCTATTCTTTTATTTCATTATAATAATAACAAGCATTATAATTACAACTATAAATAACACAACTAATAAATAAAAAATCTTATCGAGTTTCTTTTTTATTTTTACATCTTTGCATCTTTCACGATCCACTATAACTTTCTCGCTTGTGCCAACTTCTTCTCTTATGCTTACTTCGTCTTCGTTTATCGGATTAGCTCAACCAGTACATCTATACCTATCATAGACATAACAGAGTTTCAAGAAAATTTTGACTTCGTCTTCGGGTGACGGACGACGGTCGGGATCGCGGACGGGGCTGCGTGCGGTCGTCGGGATCGTCGCGTCGGGGTCACGGGCGTGCATCTGGGCGTCGATCGGCCTACGGTGGTCGTCGGTTGTCGTGGGCTCACGGCGGGCTCATGGTGGTCACCGTTGGCGGTTGGCGACTTCCGGGGTTGATGAATATATATTGATCACGGGGTCTCTGTTACCTCGTGACTTCTTCTTTATATCTCAAAACACTTCTTTACCTTGTACCGGTGGAACAACAAGACAAAGATTAAACTCAACCCGGGAACTGGAGAGAGAGAGAGAGAGAGAGAGAGAGAGAGAGAGAGAGAGAGAGAGAGGCGTGTGATGATGATGAAAGGATGATTTGATCTCTTTTTTTTTTTCTCCCCATGAGCTTAATTATACATATATATAGAGCTACAGTAGCTATCCAAAGGAGAACAATATTAGTGCTTCTTAAGCATTGGGCCTAACCGTGAGCCTAGCCAACTCTTCCAATACTTAAATAATATTACAGTCCACTAATGTAATATTATTACACTCTATTTTTCTATCCCAAATTACATTTAAGACTCCAATAATAATTACTCAAATTATGTCTCCATATTTAAGATATAATGTCCATTAATTACTTCGATTACCGATAATCAATAATTAATTAATATATTATATTCCCAAAACTAGCATCGTTCATTGTATGATTATTATGCAGCAATTTAATCCACCTTCAGGGTTTAGCATAACAATCCTTCATGAACTCACTTCGGGGACATCATCAAACTAACGCACATGGAGATCGTAAATATCCTAACAGCACATCGTACAGACAATAATATTACCCAAGACAGTAAGTATATTGACTCAGTAAACTAAATCTCACCCAAGTGAATCAAAGTAATAATTACTGTATGCATATGTCTGTTTATCATCTTACGGGTTAAGAGAATGCAGTAATCAACCGAGACTTAAGTTTGTTTACGATGATCAATATAAAACAAATTGTTACTCTCCGGGATCCTGTTCAATACATAAATGTCACAGTGCAACTAATCAGTCAAGATAAACTGTACCATTATCACTACAACCGTTGACACTAATCAGTCAAAATAGTAGTTGTTAATTATACTTATTGAATTATATATGTCCAAGCAAATTTATCTCCAATACCATAAATTTGATTTTGAATTTTGTAGTTTTTCTTAAAAGCCTTATTGTATTGTAATGATTGATTTCTCATATATTAATTTTAAGTATATTAAAATTTATAATATTTCATTATATAAAATATAAAATAATATATACAAATGTAATATTTTCTAAACTTATGAAATATATATATATATGGTTGTATTTTTAAATATTATATTCATTCATATTATTATTTTCGTAATAACATTCAAACTTTATACATACTTTATTTAAGTCAAGACATAATTTTTGGATATTTTTCATATTCATTTTTTATTGATACTAAATTTCTACATTTTCCCCACATCTATAAAAACAATATACTAAAATGGTTGTTTATGGCATAAATTTAATTTTTGTTATTTTATGGAGTATATTTTTAAAAATTTAATTTTTTTCTCCCGAGTGTCACCTTATTATCCTGTTGGGGTCCGACACTCGGGTATTACCCTGTTGGGGTCTTTGTGTTGTGTTGTTTGTGTTTTTTTGTGTTTTTATTACCCTTTTGGGGTCGTGGTCGAGTAGTTGGTCTATTTAGTTTGAGTTTTATTCTAGCGTTGCTAGCGGGATTCTAGGCGGGCTTCTGACTGTCCTCCCATTTTATTCTCCCGTTGGG